TGAGTAAAAGGAAGAGAGAGTGTGTTTTTAATATTTGTTTATTTAAAGACAAAAAAAAAAATTACCAATGCTGATGCTCTTAAGCATTTCATTTTTTACAATCAATTTTAATTTAGTGTTGGACAGTTTTCGAAAGACACCTCCATGATATGGGAGTAGAGGGGACTCATCTACCCTCTAAATAGTTGGTACTTGGGGACCATAAACCAAAATTCTTGCACGGACATATAGTTCATTTATTAGTTATAGGTATAGTGTTATTCATTATTTCAAAACACTCGTACAAGTATTTCACCTTCTCTGATTTGAGTAACAAACAGTTTCTCTTTTTTTTTTCACCAATATATATTTAGACGGTATCTTGAATTCCTTTTTATTTGTTTTTGCCATATGGTATCTATCTTGCATTCAAATGTGGTGAAAAGTTTAATACTATTGAAATGCTAATCAAAATGAAAGGAATATTTGTCCATAAACATGTATTAAATTGAAAGACCAAGAAAATCTCTTTTGTAATTTAAGTTAGACCAGAGTAACGAAAGAACAATAATATATAATACTTACTTATTATGGGTCCGTATAAGACATCAAAAGTGAAACAAAGTAGACAACAGCAGAGAACATGTGTAGTTGTTGTCCTCTTAATGGCTTGAAAAAACTATTTTCAATCTGTGACAAAAAAAAAATGGCGATCTTTGGTCTCAAGACTATCACTTGTCGATAGGTTTCCACCACTTTATCAATAAAATTTAACTTCTTTTTGGATTCTAGAGAAGAAGAATCATATCTTTCCTAGATCTTCAAAGGACCACTCACATCTTTGTATCATCCATCAAACGGCTAAATTAATAAGTAAATGGAAATTTCCTATTAGCACTAAATGAAGAGGGGATCCTAAAAAGGAAATCAAACCCAACAACAACAAAAACGATTTCAGTACAATTAATGCTTAATCTTAACGGCTACATTAATAGGTAAATATGTAAATATCAGAACATTTAGCTAAGAGTAAATGGAAATTTTATACCAAATAAAAAAGAGTAAATGGCCAAAAAAAGGAAATACAAAAATTCAACGGAAACATATAAATATACAAGACCCTTAGCACTACTCAGTCGTATTCACTCTTCATTAACGTTGTTGTCTGTCACAATTTCTCTTCTTTCTCATAGATATTTCCTTCATTGAAGCCGATTTTTGTGTGTTTGTGTGTAAACAATGGACTCGAAATTGTGTCCGAGGCAAACAACCCGTTTCAAGAGATGTTCTTCTCATCGTGATTCTAAGACAACGAGTACGAGTTTAGCCATGAGAGAAGATACCATGTTTAAGAAAGCTTACGAGCTTTCGACTCTCTGCGACATCCAAGTCTGCGTACTCTATTACGGCCGTGATGGAGAACTCATCAAGACATGACCCGAGGACAAAACCAAAGTGAGAGACATGACTAAGAGGTTTAGCCAATTAAGCGACATAGAAAAATGCAAAAACAGTTCCAACATTTCCGAGTTTCTAGCCAAGAAGATGAGCGACAAGAAGAAGCATGAGTTCAACAAATTCACACGAAAACTCTTAGAGATGGAATATTCTTTGGAACGGCGTTTACCGATACTATAAGATCGTCTTCGGCTTCTTTCCGATTTGTGGTGGTATTCCTCCTAAACCATTGGTCAATTCATCAATGTCGCTAGTTGAAGATCATAGCCATCAACAATGGACAGAACCATCGACGAATCCTCTCAATGAGTTACCGATACTACAGTATCAACCATTGATCAATTCCTCAACGTCGCTAATTGATGGTCCTCGTCATCAACAATGGACGGAGCCATTGGTGAATCCTCAAAGTAATCACCTTCGATGCCGTCTCTGAATCATCGTGATGACCAGAGCAAGTTCTCAATCTTTCTGTATAACCTTGACAACGACAACTTCACTCAATCTGCTTCAAGATTTGACCAATCGTTTAACAATCTGAGTGGCACGGGTTTTACTTGGGCACAAGGATTTGGTGGCTGCAGCAACAACAATATTGTCGATCTTCCTCCACCTCTCATGCATACGAGCTCTGACCAATTTGTGTCTCCGTTTAGCAATCTGATGTGTAGTATGGGTTTACTTGGGGCACAAGGATTCGGTGGCTGTAACAACAACATTGTCGATCTTCCTCCACCTCTCATGATGCAGACATTCCCTTCTTCTTCTCATTATTGACTAGACTGTTAGGTTCGTAGAATAAGTTTTGCACTTTAACGATTCTCTTCTCGAGCCGGATTATATACTAGATTGTTAGGTTCGTATAAGTCTTGGATTTCATCTGGAAAAATTCAGGGTTTTCTATTTGATTAAGCTTATCCATATTTTTCTCCTCGTTTAAGCTGTAATTTCATTCTTGTTGGAAAAAATTATGATTTTGATATAATTTCTGGAGACAATAGTATAACCCGTTTGCAATTTATGTGTGTTTTCTTCTCCTAATGGGTTAATTCTCTTGAGTGTTTGTTTATATGAGTTTTGGTCAAATGGATATAAAAGAACTGTGAGGAATGCTGCATACGAATTAGTTTTGATGCTCTTTTTTTTCTCTCTCTCTCAATTCTCAATTAATGTGTTGTGAAAAGAATGTATTAGCTGCTCATGTCAAACTAGAGTTTGTTATTCTGAGAGGAACAATTTACTAAATTTCTTCTTCTGACAAGAACATGATCACATCTACAAAAAAATCCAGCTATGTATAGTTTAGCAGTGACAAGTGAAGACATACAACTGATAAGTGGTAACATATACAAATGAAGTTTATGTGTGGTTTAAGTACCAAAGTTCGTTTTTACTTGTTTAAAAATATTCTCGTTTGCATCAGTTTTTTCGTATAGTAGAGATTGTAGCTTCCTATTAACCTTGAGAATGAAAAATAGATTTCCATCTTATAGGCGTTTGACATGGCAATATGTGGTTTATGTGTGCATTAGAAGTACTTAGGAAGGCCTTGAGTCATGGTGTGTAAATTTCTTAATCAAAATGTGACATAGTTTTCTTTCTGGCTTGTTATTGTTTCTCCTCTTGTAGCACCAATCAAGTGCACAAGTCCACAGTACGAAAGTCACT